AGTTCCATCCATGCTTTTGAAAATCGTAAGAATCCCTTCTTTTTTTACCGCAGTGTAGTATTCCATGTGTAGATGTAACATAGTTTTTTAATCCACTCATCTGCTGATGTGCACTTAGGCTGTTTCCAAATCTTAGCTATGGTGAATTGTGCTGCTATGAACATAGGGGTGCCTATAGCCTTTCTGATTGGTGTGTCTGGTTTCTTGGGACATAGTCCTAGAAGTGGAATCACTGGGTCAAATGGGAGTTCCATGTTCAGTTTTTTGAGGAAACTCCATACTGTTCTCCACAGTGGCTGAACCGGTCTGCATTCCCACCAGCAGTGCACAAGTGTTCCTTTTTCTCCGCATCCTCTCCACATGATGTTTGTTGATTTGTTGATGATAGCCATTCTGACAGGTGTGAGATGGTTATCTCATTGTCATTTTGATTTGCATCTCTCAGATAATTAGTGATTTTGAGCATGTTTTTATATGTCTCTTGGCCTTCCTTCTGTCTTCTTTCGGAAAGTATCTATTTAGGTCACTTGCCCGTTTTTTGATTGGGTTGTTTATCTTCCTTTTTTTTTTAATGTGCGTAAAGGTTTGAATATCTTTGGAATCAATTGCTCTTTAAGGTTTCATAGAATTTCTTTGTATATGACTGAATCTGAAGAATTTGGAGGGGTAGTTCTTTCACAAGTTTCTCACTATCTTATATGAAATTAGTTTATATGTATTTTTTATGTCTTTGAAGTTGCTTTTTAGAAACTTTTACAAAAATATTCTTTACATGAAATTTGTGTAAAATTAATAAGGTATTATGACACACTTTCTATTTTTTATAGCAATTTATTTTCTATTATTCCTTCCATTATTTTTGTTAAGATTAGTTAAAACTTATTTATTGTTTTATGTTTTGCTTTCTTTCCCAAATCTAAGGTTTTTGTATTTAATATGTTTCTGATTTCTAACCTCATTGATGTCTTTATTTATTTTTTCTTTTATTCTTTCTATTTTTATTGATATCTTCTATTTATTTAATTTTATTATTTTACTTCTGTCTTTAATATATTTAGGATTATGAATATTCTCCCAGAAGTACTTATACTGTATCTCATAGTTTCCATATACTTTTTTTTGCTAGAAATTTTGCAATTTTGTTGTACATTTTTCATTTTTCTTTAATTTACATTTTATTAAAGAAAAGTTTGCTGATGCCTGTTGTTGTGGTTAAGTTTCTAGGGTGAGAGATTTTGTTGTTTTCTGGGTCATTTTCATGAATTTTTAGTTATATTGTATCTGGAGGAGAGCATTTTTGTCCATACAATTTTGGCACTTCTCTGTCAGAAGTTATTACAAACACAGTAATAGATTTCACTGAATTGAAAAGGACTCTTCTCTCGTCAGCATCAGGCTGAGCAGGAGTATTGCTTTCTAGATATTAGGACCTATTAAGAATAAAAATATCAGGTTGGCTGAGGTTTTTAATAGTAACATCCCTAATGAATAGTCAGTTTTTGTAAATAGTTCATTAGAATTAGAAAACTATTTTTTTCTTACAAAGCATGCTCGTGCATTTGCCTATATGTATATTTACAATGTGTTGGGATGCCTTGCTTATTGCTCTTTGTAGTTCATGGCCTCAAAACTTTACAATCCATGGCAAAGAACATTCTGATTCTTAGCCTGTCATGTAATGCCAGGCAAAGTAATGATGTCAAAAAATCAAATAATCACAATCCACTAAAAAAAGTGGTTATTTGGAATAGATATAGTATGGCTATAGTGAAACCCATTTTACTTTTCTCTTAAGATTAACTTGAGATTTTACAGTATAATTTTAAAATTTACTATGTTTACTCATTGTCCATCTCAATGGATCAATTATTAAATGAAATCATATAATATAGAATATAATTTTATATGATATAGAGTATAAAAATACAAGTACCTGGTTATAAAAATATTTAATAGCTATTATAAACAGGAATACATTTGTAGCATATATTCATGTAAATACTAGGGCATTCACAGTAAATTAACCAGAATAAGGTTTTCCTACTCCTCAGACCTAGCAAATTTAAGAAAGAGATGGAATTGCCCTCTTTTATACCGTAATAAATAAGTGAAAAATAGAAAAGATAATCCAAAGAAGTATATTTGTGGCTGAAATATACCTGAAAATGTTGCACTACAAAGACAATACTTAAATTGAACTCTGAAAAACAAAATGTTTTTTAACAAAGGAGGAAGGGTAGGTAGATTACCAGGACACATGAGTGACAGCATGTTCTTGTGGCGCAATATAATACCACGGGATGCTTCATTCTTTGTGTGCTTCCAGGTGAATTGGACAACATGCAACCAAGGAGGGCAGCTATATAACAGCATGGTGTGGTCTGGAAACTATATTTAAAGGCTTGGTGCAAATGCAGGAAGAAAAGACGACAAGTAAAAAAGTAGATATTGAGGTATTATTGTAATTATTAGCCAGGCCAAACTTCAAGTGCATTTTGACAATATTTTATCTATGTTTAATAACCACCTTGGAAAGTGCTTAAGTAAGAAAACTGAAGGTTAAAAGACATGATACAATGTCATCTACTGCTTTAATGACAGGGCCAAATTTATATTTCATCTGACAGTAAGAACATGTTTTCCATCACCCTTCATTGATATGGAGACACATTCAAGATTTTTTGGTTTAAATCAATAAGCATCTATATGCAATTAAATAGGTTTAAAAGGAAAAGTGGTACTACAAACGATATTGTTGATATTCATTAAGAGCAAATAGGGTTGGAACCTTGAATTGAAAAAAAAAAATGGAACAACTTTAGAATGAGTGCAAATTGGTACAAAAAGCCCAAGAAGAGACTTGGAGACAGACCGCTAAGAAGAAGCACACCCCTTGCTAGAGGTGATGTCAGAGGAAAAAGTGCATCAACTTGCATTCATCCTTATCCATTCCCCCTTCCGCCCAGTCAGGCTCCATTAAACAATGAATGAAAGTTATCACACCGTATTTACAAGGTGCCGTACCATGGACTGGTGAATTTAACCTGGCAATTTTCTGATGAAGAAGTGATATGGACAGGAATGTGCAGAGCTCCTGCAAGCTGATTTTGAGAGCTCAGCTGAGTTTGATCTTCGGGAAGATTAGCGGCTCCGCCTTGCTGGCTAACGTGAGCTGCTTTAGAGATTAAATAAGGAACAGACTTTGTCAGGCTTGTATCCATTTCTTGCCATCTGAATCAGTACCTCTTAAAGCTTAAAACCCACTGAGTTATATATTTTAGGTCTTAAATCTCTGTGCTTTACAACATAAAACATAGCAATAAAGTAACTCTGAGATTGATAATGCTAATCCAAAAGATATGATTATTTTACACAGACCAGTGATGACTACTGCTTTATAGGTACTTACACACTTTAAGTTCTACTTTGTAGGCCCCTGTGTAGCATTCAGAAAAAAAAACAAAAAAAAAACCCTTAATCTTGAATTTTAAATCAATATAAAATTGTGATTACTAGAAGAATTAATGAGATTTTATATAGAGCAAATAGAAAAGTATACACAAAACAATAACAGATAGACAGATGATAGATAGATAGATAGATAGATGATAGATAGATAGATAGATAGATAGATAGATTCACATTAATATTTACAATAGCATATGAGGGTAAAATTTCTCAGCCTGTGTTCTGAACATATTCTACTGCAGAATAATCTGAAGTGTCAATAAGGTCAATTCTACCTTGGTCAGTACATAGCTCAGTTGTTTGGAGCATTGCCCTGTACACCAAAAGATTGCAGGTTTGATTTCTGATCAGGGCACATACCCAGATTTTAGGTGCATATGTGAGGAAACTGATCAATGTTTCTCTCTCCTCCTCTCCCTTCTTTCTCTTTAAAATCAATGAAAGAATATGTCCTCCAGTGAGGATTAAAAAAAATTTAAAAAGCCAATTCCTTGGCCCCACCCACTACAGTCTTTCTGAATCAAAATATGCAATAATTAGAGTGCAGGGATCTGAACAAGTGGATCTTTAAGCTGAAGTCATTAAACATTTAAAGACAGGTACACTTCACTAGGCGTTACATTTAAGTTGATTTCTGTAATTTTATTAGTTCCCCTTCTTTTTTATAAGGACCTGAGCCTTATGTACTCTTAAAAGCAAAAAGCAATTGATTCAATCCAATGACAATTCTTAAGAATAAAAAAGAATGGGAAATAAGGTTAATGGTTTCACCGAAACTGTTTTGATGGGTCCATGATCATCAAGTATAAACTTATATTCTAAGGAGTGCTGGATAATGTGGTAAAGATTTTTACATGACTGTAGTTTAGGAAAGTCTCTTAGTTACAACATGGAGTAGTGATATTAATATAACTGACATTGATGGGAAATCTGTTATCTTAGAACAGTGGTTCTCAACCTTGGCTGCACATTAGAATCACCTGGGAATCTTTTTTAAAAAATCCTGATTTCTGGGCCTCATCCTCCTGAAATTCTGTTTCTTTGTTATGGGGTGGGGCTACAACATTAGTAACAAAGAAACAGAATTTCCGGAGGATGAGGCCCAGACATCAGGATTTTAAAAAGATTCCCAGGTGACTCTAATGTGCGGCCAAGGTTGAGAACCACTGTCTTAGAACAAAGATGAGGGGGGACATTCATGGTGTATTCAACATAATGTTTTCTCAACATACAAGATATAATTTCTAAAAGAGTATCCAAAGAGCCAGTCACAACGTTGCATAACTAAAATGTCATTACATTTTCAAGAGGAAATATTTTATCATCTTCATGACCTGACAATATGGATGATCCATACCCCTGCTAAATTTTCATTCATGGAAAAATGAGCCAGTTGCCTAAATCACTGACATGGTATTCATTTTACCTTCTTTAAGGAAAGGATCCCTTCTCTGGTCTCTTTGTCAGTGGAGATGGAGAATATCCCGATACCGTCACCATTAATGATGGAGTACGTCATGTCTGCGTTGGAGCCAGTGTCTGCATCATTTGCCTTGATTTTCCCAACGGCTGAACCAACTTGAGCTGACTCAGGAACATACAGCTGATAGTGCTCTGAAAAATATTTTATATTAAACATTTCAATGATAATAAATTTATTTTACAAGAAAATGCATTAAAATATTTAGAAAAAATATTTAAATGAACATAAAGTTAAGTTGTTTTCAAGTTTTAAATTTTAATATACCACTTAGTAATGAAATACTAGACTTACACAAACTTTAACTTGTATGCAAAGTAGCCTACATACGAAGAATTTGTAGATATCTGAATTAAAATATTTTATCAACTCTACACCCATAAACAACAGAAAAATAAATGAGGGAGGTCAAGTTTGCATTTTTATGTTGAGCAAAACTGTAGTGCAGTCTCCATTTTTGCTCCAGATAATATGTGAAATTTAAAGTGAAAACAGAAAAAAGAATATAGCCTACATGTGAATGTGATTTTTACTTTGATCAATCAACTTAAGTTGGTGAAAACTATGGCAAATAAATACAGTGTTTTTATACATTTATTTACCACGTATTTTTGGTCAGCTTCTAAAAATATTTTAAAGTCATTTTATAATAAAGTAAAAATAAAAAAGGAAATTGAATAGGTAGCCCAGAAGTAAATCCCTACATATAAAGCCAACTGATCTTTGATGAGGGTGCTAACAGACAACAATGTAGAAAGAATAATTTCTTCATCAAATGGTATTGGGAAAATAAGATATTCACATATAAAAAATAAAATTGTACCTTTGCTTTACATTATATGCAAAAATCATCTCAAAATGAATTAACAGCTGAAAATGTAAATTCCTAGAAGAAAACATTGGGGGATACCTTCTTGACATTGGTTGTAGCAACAATTTTTTGGCTATGACATCAAAAGCACAGGAAAACAAAAGCAAAAATAGATCATAAGGACTACACAAAACTAAAATACTTCTGCACAGCAAAGGAGAGAATCAGCAAAATTAAAAAGACAACCTATACGATGGGACAGATATTTTAAAATCATTAATATAACAACAGCTTAATATCCAGAAATTAAGGAACTTATACAACTCAACACTAAACGGACAATTTGATCAAAAATGGGGAGAGGAACTGAATAGACATTTTTCAAAAGAAGACATGAAAATATGTTCACCATCACTAATCATCAGAAAAATGCAAATCAAAATAACAATAAGATATGATCTCACATCTGCCAGAATGGTTATTACTAAAAAATACAAATATAACAAATATTGGTGAGATCTGAAGAAAAGGAAATCCTTGTGCATTGTTTGTGGAAATGTAAGTTGCTTCAGCCACAATGCAAAACAGTATGGAGGTTTCTCAAAAAAGCAAAAATAGAACTACCAAATAATCAGTAATCTTACTTTTGAGTATATCTGAAAGAACTGAAATTAAGACCTCACAGAGAAGTTGGTATTCCCATGTTCATTACAGCAGTATTCACACTGGCCAAGATATAGAAATAACCCATATCCTCAATAGATAAAGGAATAAAGATAATGAAAAAGATTCTCTCTAATAAGATAAAAAAATACAAAAATTTTGTAAAATACAGCCTCTGAGTACTTATTATATAAGTCATAAAGGTAATATTCTAGCTAGAGAATTACAGGATTAATAGAAGTGGAAATTGAAAACAGAGACACTATGATAAATGTAAATGAACTCAATGAATTTAAGATGTCTCTGATAACAAAGATTATTAAAATGTAAAAATAGAACCTGCTAGGGAAGAAAGCATATTCTAAAGAGCTTAGCATGCGTTTAATGCTTAAACATTTGTGTTTAACATAGATATAATACCTTTGTAATCCTAAACACCAATATAATTCATTTATGCCCTAACACATTTTAGTATACTGTGCTTAACAATGGAAGAAAACACATAAAATTATCCTAAAATAACAAATTATATCAAACTTACTCTACATACTAATTCTAACAAAAACAACGTGCCAGCACTAACCATGAAGGTATATAAATACTGTATAGAGTTAACCTTAAAAATTCTGACACCTGAGAAACAACAGTCCACAAATAATTAGGTATTACGATCTTTGGATTATAATGGTAATACATAAACTTTCATTTACCTGTTAATTTATGAGAATTAGAATTTTCTATGGGAGTGAAAAACACAGGGGAGAAACTTTATAGGGTATAATCAAAATGAATTTAGAAATCTTTGACTAAAAGCCTGAAGTTTTGCCACTGCCATTAATTCATTCACATAGAAAAAGTCAGCTTGCTATTCAGGAAAAAAAAAATCACTTTTATCTAAATAAGATTAGTAAAGGTCATAAATCATAGAATATTAATATACATGTTGAATAATCTTTTGCTTTTCCATAATATATTTACTCTATAATTACTCTCTGGGAAAAACAAACAGACAAACAAAAAACAACACCCATCTAAATAATTTTATGCTACAGTTAAGTGAGCATTTCTTCTGTTGCCAAAAGAATCCTCAGAGTATGTTGAGTTCACAAGAAGGTTATGTAGCCTGGCCCGTGGTGCAGCTCAGGGGTTGAGCATCGACCCATGCACCATGAGGTTGCTGGTTCAATTCCCCATTAGGGCACATGTCCGGGCTGCAGGTTTGGAGTGGACAAGGGGTGCAATGGATGTTGATGTTTCTCTCTCATCAATGTTCCTATCTCGCCCTCTCCCTTCCTCTCACTCTAAAATCAATAGAAAAATATATTTTAAAAGGTTATATACTGTGCTATACCACCTTCAAGAGGGTTAACGTGAATTTAAAAAACCACATAGACAGTTCAGGATTTAACACACACACACACACACACACACACACACTCACGCATATTGTTTATACCAGCATATATTATATGTGTGTACTCTATAGTATCTCCACTTATTTATTAGCTTGAGATGGAGAAAAAGAGAAGTAGGCAAATAGAGAGACAAAGAGATCATTCATTCAATTTTCAGAAATACATTTTACAATTGGGTTTGTGAGAAAAATTCTTAATTTGCCCTCTTGAAATTAATGATTGAGGTTTTCTTGTTCCCTCCCTTTCCTTAAAGCATTTACTAGAGAAAAGAGTTATTATTTTAACAGTTATCAATAATGGAAATATATTATGAAGCAGTGAAGAATCACTGGAAAAGATCCTTTATAGTAAAATAAATTGTTCTTTTGTTGAAGGCTGAAATAGGTAAGGAATTGATGTAAATTTATATGATACAAAGACTCCTCCCAAACCAACCAAAGTGTCCATATGTGCATCACTGTATATTGTGAGATGGGTATATATTTTTTTCAGAGAAGAAAAGTACAATTAGCCAGCTCATTTGCTCCTTTTTCTGCATCCATAGTTAAGGTTTATTTTGGTGTTTATAATAAACAAAAATCATCAGATGTGTTTAGTTTTAGATGGTGTTTTCATATTGAAATATAGAGTGATAACTTAGTCTGAGTTATGAATCCTTTTTTTTCAATCATAAAAGTTCTTTTTCAAAATTTTTATTTTATTTTTTGTTTATAAAGGAAAGTTTACATTTCACAGTTTTCTTCTCTGATCACTCCACCTATAATATACTAACTTGCTTATTATATAGCGATTTTTCTCTACTTTCATTTCTCTTTCATTGTTTCTATATTAGTATTCATTCTTTTGTTGTTTATTGTTTTCATGACTTATGTTAATTATTTTCAGTTTTCTAGAACTCCTAATTTATTTCTATATAGTCTTTTCACATCATTATGTCTTTTTAAAAAATCATTTCAACACAAATGTATGCATGGCAGAAACTTCAATCTTTCTCTTTAATTTCTTTCCACCACCATATTCCATTGGTCAAACAAAGTCATTGGTCAAGCCCAAAGTTAAAGTAGCAGGGACATACACACCACCTACAGAAAAGCATGATAAGAGAGTGAAAGGACAAACAATCCTGAATAAATGATACAGTTTGTTCACAGTCTACTTTCCTATCACAAATATTTGTCTGCTTTTCACAGGTAAAATCCACTACATGCTGAATGACACCCCAAACATCTTTAAACCATAGCATCAGACTTGTATAGGTGTACTCACACCACTACAGCCATAGGAAGCCATGAAGTCTATTGGAAGACTTGATGTCAGTAGCAGGTACACATGCTCCCCTCAACTCTTATTCCCCTAGATGCCACTTGGGCTTCACTGGGCTCCACAAAAGGCTTCCGTGGGAGGAATGTACTCAATGTTCTCAGGGCCAGGTTGACAGGAAGCACGTCTCCTGAATGTACTCAACGTTCTCAGGGCTAGGGGGACAGGAAGCACGTCTCCTGAACATTCATACCAAATGTTTACTACTTTGTCTGCAGCATTTTGATACCTTAAATCATTTTCAAGGTAGAATTTTTCTTATCTCGAAAAGTTGAATGTATTGGAACAATTGTGATTTAAATGCCTTAAAGCAGTGGTCGGCAAACTGTGGCTCTTGAGCCACATGCAGCTCTTTGGCCCCGTGACTGTGGCTCTTCCACAAAATACCACGTGTGGGCGCGCACATACAGTGTGATTGAAACTTCATGGCCCATGCACAGAAGGGGCCAAAGAGCCGCATGTGGCTCACGAGCCGCAGTTTGCCGGCCACTGCTAAAGTAATGATATGACTGACATCAGCCAAATGGCAAGTTAGGAAGCTCCAAGCCCTCGATTCCCCGTGGAAACATGGAAAACACCAGAAACTGTCTGGACAAAGTTATATGAGCTCTGGAAAAGCCAAAAGTTCGTAGCCACCAAGCAAATACTCCATTAAGAAAAAGTACTTTCCAAACTGTAAGGATCTGTGGTGTTTCTACTTGCTCTTGCTCCACCCTCTCCCATAAACAAGGCTCTTGGTCGGCAGCAAGTACCAGGTTAATTCTCAATTCTCTCTATGCAACGATAAACAAAGATGACAAAACTTTAACCAAATGACTGTCAATAAAATGAGAGACAAGTCAAATTAATAAAATCAGAACAACCTGGAGCCAGAACCACATATTTTGTAGAAAGAAAAAAATTGTAAGAAAATAGTAAAAAAATT